TATATATATATATATATAATATCTAGCGTCTTGATATACATCCAAGAGACAATTTCACTGAACCTAGCACTCAAAAAATTCACCCAATCAATTTACCCAAAAACTCAATCTCAAACTGCCTTTTTGTTTTAGGTTTGGAGCTGGTTTTGCATCGAACAGTACCGGCATAATTTTGAATAACGAAATGCGCGATTTTTCGTCACCAAATATAACAAATGGAAATGGATTTGCTTCATCCCCAGCAAATTTTGTGGCTCCTGGTAAACGATCCATGTCTGCCATGTGTCCTTCAATAGTCCTAGATCATAACAAGGAGGTCCTATTAGTTATTGGCGGAGCTGGTGGACCAAAAATTACGACGTCAGTGGCAGTGGTATGTGAAACTAGAGTGTCGATAAAAATTCATTACTTGTATCACAAGATATTCAAACTTAACCAACTTAAAACCGTTGTGGCATATTGCTGAAGACTCATAAATAATACTGAACACGCCATAAGGAGAATTCAGCTAAATTGTTAGTACAAGAGATGCTTTCAATCTACCCATTAAAATGGTTCAAAATGAATAGTTTGATCCGGGAATATCAACTTATTCTTATTATTATCCTGTTTCATATTGTTTCATATTATTCTGCTTCGATAAGTTTGTTGGAGTTTAAAATTAGACACCAATATGTCTTGGAGGCTGGAAATACAAAGGCTGCTTCTCAAGAGTTTATACCACTGTTTCAAACCAGAAAACGGTACACGCCTCAGCAATTTTTTATGCTTTATGAAGCTCAGATCAGACCTTCATTGGAGTATTGTTCTCATGTATGGAGCTCTGCCCCTAAACGTACCCTGAAGCTGCTGGATTCTGTTTGAAGGTGGTTAATGAACCAAAAACTACTACATCGAATGTAGCTTTGTAGGGTATCATTGAAGAGCATTTCTCTTCACCTGTCATGTTACCTGAGAAAAAGATATGAAAATAATTTTGGTGCATAGAGAGTTATCATAATTGTCACCTGTGAAATGCCAATCAAAACAAGACAAAAACGGCCTTCGTCAACTTTATCGAATCCCAAGTAACCAATTTTTTGCTGACGGAATTAATCGACTTGTGTTACATATTATTTCCCATTAGAATGTTTGTCACTGAATCATTTTCGACTAAAAATTATTTGATACTGTTTGTGTTTTATTTGATCTCCATAAATCTTTCTCTTGGAATATTATTACATCCTAGAAATACACGATACATGGATGTTTTGTCACTTTCAAAATCAAAAATTTCGATATTTCTTTAAAATTACAAGTATCTACCAATAATATTTCTAAATTTGAAGGTCATAATGAGACATCTTTGGTTCGGGATGGATCTGAAACATGCAATAGATGAGAAAAGGTTGCATCACCAACTCTTTCCAATGGAAATTATCTACGATACTGCTTACCAAACATCGGTAAGAATTATTCAATCGTGAAGAAATACTCACTCACACAGATACATTTTTCAGGGAATGGACATTGTTCAGGGATTAGCTTCAATCGGACATAATTACTCTTTCAAAGATGATAATGGTTTTGCAGCAATTACAGCCATTTCTAGATCATCCGAATCTGGTGAAGTCGTTGGCTGCAGTGACATGAGGAGGCCGGGATATACAACATATCTTGGTTAATAATTATTGGTAGCTCGTTTTTTGTAAAATTATCAGCACATTTACATCAAAATATTACGAATACATCAATCTATTATAGATTGGGTCGATTATAATAAATGTAATTTAGGAATATTCTTACTTTCCGCTCTAATTTTGACCTGAAATTGACTTGATTACTACCGCAGACATTTTCAATAAGGTCTACGTTTGACACAAGTGAAATAAAATCTGTTCAAAATATGTTTTTTTCGTTAGCCAGCTGTCGCACCCCCACGAACGACAACCCTCAATAGTCGAAACTTGTGCGAGCTAAGGATTAACGAGGTCTTACCTTTTAACTTATGATTCCTAACACGGGTTGGACGATAGCAAGTGAAAATCGATAGTTCAGCCAGGGGCTTCAACCAGCGACCAACACGGCAGTCAATTCGAGTGAGGGAACAAAGCACCCACGTCGAACCGCTTGACTACCGACCGACCGATAGGTATCATAAAACACCAAATCTAGTCAAATAATATTCGACTTTTCAAATATGATGGGTTTCAGGAAGATGTAAAGAATAGAATAGCCCTTTCGCTGTGTCAAATGAATGCATACCGCTGACCGATGCGACAATAGTTTTTTAAAACTAAACTCGATATTGGTTTAACCATTGTTTTTTATACATGTATCAGAACCGACTCTAATAAATTTGTCCTGAATTTTTGCAAGACGCGCATGTGCGCTGTACGCAGTTTTCGAAGAATTTCTTTTAAAAATGCGGAGGACGCATTAGTGCGCTCGATAAAAATTCTTGTAAATCAAATACAAATTTTTTGATACAAACTAAAATTTTATTCATAAAAACAGGAATATAAAACTGTAAAATTAAAATATGCAAATTATTACCTTTTTTGGTGAAATGAAGTCTCTCTATATTGATACATGATATTCTTTGAAACAAATGCCTAA